CTTGCTCACAGAATTATTTTAGTCACCAATTAATAATTTGAATATCAAAATGATTGGACAAATATATTTCCATCACTGGATGCAGGAGTCACAGTGTAGACTTACATGCTTTCCTCCCCAACAATGCACATTGCGGAGAGAAGCTTCACCACATCAGCCATCATGCTGGGCTGCTTGGGATCCAAACCTTTTGCCAACAAGGAAAGACTCCTCTCTTCACTCATAATTCTTTCTAAGCCTTACTATATAATTAGAAAACAAGTTAAGTGTTATTTTGAATCTAGGTGCATGAATTTTAAAAATTATGTTTTTGCCTCTAAGAAAAAGTATGAAGACCTTGTAACATCATAAAAATTCCCAGAGTATCAACATTATGTTAAGAGCTATGAGATGAATCTACCTAATGCAAAGATCCCATGGAGAAAAGAGGTATCCTCAACATTAGTGTGCAAAACAAATAGACAAATGCTAAAATAGTCACAGAGGACAGGATGATCTCTGTGCTGAGAAAGAAAGTCGGTAAAAGAGATACAAACAAACACCTATATCAGCTCTGTTCAAGAGAAGGACAAGATAAACCAAAGCATGAATAATTAAATGTCATTTTCATGAAATAAAGGATACTATTTTAAATAGTTAACCTGGTGTTTTAGAACAATTTATTTTCCTGAAGATTGAAAATCAAGTTGCATTTCATAAGTACACACCTGAATTCAGACTAGACACATTTCAAATGTTCAAAAACCAAGAGGGTACCACAAGACAGTATAGGTCTAGATGTGAACACAGTATATGAATGGACAAAGGTAAAGCAAAGTTTGGGAAGGAACTGTGTAGAAACTTCCTAGTAGGAATATTTATTTCTGAGCACAATGGTATTTATCATCAGGAAGTCAATACTGCTGTAAATAAGCACATACATAATGATTGGGGAAGGATAAAGTTAATTTGTTACTTCCACAATGTCACGTGCAATTAGAAGAGTATGTAGGTATAATAAAGGCATATTATTTTAAATAAGTATGTATCTCTTGTCATACCAATAATATGCATTAGTATAAAAATACATACAAGACACCAAGTAATACTTCTACCTCCCATGTAATTCAGAGGATCTTTCTAAGTTGTATGAAATTTAAAGAACAAGTCACTACTAAAAATGAACACAGAAGCATTAATCCCAATTACATACCTATCAAGATGGCTGAAAAACTGGCAATATATTAAGTATTAAAATCAAACTTCTAACAAGCTTAAACGGAAATGCTTTTATTATAAAATCATGTGCATAATTTGATTATCACATGTGTAGTAAGCATTTATATAAAAAACAGGCAAGCTTGACATTGTGCAGACACAGTGCATTTGCTAGAAAACACTATGGTGAAGGTGTATGATGGAAGGAATGCAAGCAGAGGAGCCAAGACCCCAGAAATGAGAGTGGTAAGAGTTCTGTTTCTTCGCTAACAGGAGAAGGTTTGCTAACAATTAAAGTGCTCAGGAAAAGGCTCACTTTTATGATGCTCCTAACCATTTCCTAACTACGAGCTGAGACATCAAAAGCTGGCATAGAGCTCAAAGCTGCACTAAAAAACTGCAGAAAATTGTCAGTTATTTAGAAAGCACCATTTGGACCTGACTCAGAATGTCAAAAATTAGCAAGTACCAACAGCATGTTCTGTCCTAACAAACCTGCAAGCTGATGAAAGCTAGTCTCTAGGGCCTGCCTCCCAGATTCATAGTCATGTGGCTTTCCTGGGCTTCAGTCAAACTTCCTACATTTCCATCCAATCTCCTGATAGTAACTACTGTTGGGGGAAGGCTGGTATACGAGCACACACTGATCTCATCCTTTTGACCACCATCCTGTGATACCTAAGGCATGTCTTCTAATTTTCTCAATGTAAAAAAAAAGACAAAAATTGACAGGCTCATATAGGGACTAGAATGAGGTAGGATTACCACTTTTCCGCAACTAATACTAAACAGGAAACTGCTACATGCTTCATTAAAATTCGTATGCAAAGATTTAGAGAAAAAAAAAAACTGGCTGTGAGAAATATCCACTTACCAGTGCTAGCATCAAATGCTTTTAATGAAGACTTTTACAAGTGAGAGAGCTATCAACTATATGGGGTAATATAGTAACTGTCCTGTTCTATACCCAGAATCAACGTTGGGTTCTATTTGCACTCAACAGAAAGCCTATTGTTACCTAAGGGAATTCCAGGCTGCTGAAGATGATGTGTATAGGTAAGGAAAGATAAATACTCTCACCCCTGAGAAGTCACCAAATATCAACACTATATGACTACCAGGACTAAGCAATGATCAATGATGGGTGTATCCCAATAGTGGAGAGGATGTGAGCAAGACTCCATTGTCAATGGGCATACAATTCAACCCCCAAGAAGCTCACAAAAAGGAAGTCTTTCTTGATGGCCTCCATATTTTAAAAGATCCATTTAAAAATAACAGTTTTATTTTTATTTTTTAATTTTGTGTATGTATTTTGGCTGCATGTATATTGTTGCACCACTTCCATGTCTGAGCACTCAGAGTCCAGAAGAGGGAGGCAGACACCTGGGACTGGAGCTATGGATGGTTGTGAGACATCATACAGGTGTTGGGAATCAAATCTGGGCCCTTTGGAAAAGTAGCTAATGCTCTTTATTACTGAGCCAACTCTCCAGCCCCTAAAAAATACTCTAACTCCATTTAATGTGATAAACAATTCATTTTAATATGATGTGACAGTCCTTCGTATTAATGACATAATTCACTGCTGGTAGCAAATAAATGTAAAGGCTTACCATTCAGTGAAATCCAATGAAGACTTCACAGTGTTGACTGGCAAAGTATGCATGTATACAGCTGATTAAACGAAGCTTAAGAAAACTAACAACCACCTTGGGTTGATAACCTGACCAACAACTTTGCATAACAGAGTCTAGATATTGAAATATTAATCCCAAGTGTTAGCAACTAACTTTTGTGCTCCTATTAGCTAGACTGTGTGCCACTATCAAATTCTAAGGCAGTATTTTATGACTCTGTATAAACAAACTATAAGAAATATCAGTTTACATAAGACTAAAAACATGTAAATGTTACCTTCTGACCAAAACCATGTTATTTCCTAGGTAATAATTCATTTTAACCATTAGTCATCTAAAATTTAAATTTGGTTTGAAAGAGGCACACCTGCATTTTCTTCCTGTCAACTTCATGTCAGCAGCAAAATTCCCCTACTACTTCCTCACATTACAAGGCCTCTGAAAAGCAGCTCAACTTGGATGGGGAGAAGAGCTCTCTACAAGGAGTTTCTCATCCTCTCAGTGCCTACTCTTAAAGAACATACAGATAACCCATGTCACATACATAAGCGTAATTCTCACAAAAAGAGCTGTAGGTGTACTCATCAGGCAGTGTCATTGGGAATACCAGGGTGGGCAGAGAGCAGACAACAATCTGGGTATTAAAAATAGGCTGTCAAAATGAATCAAGCGGTTAAAGACACATGTCTCCAAACCTGAGGGCCCGGCTTAAGTAGCCAGAACCCACATGGTAAAAGAGAACCAATTTCCACAGGCTGTCTTCTAACCTACACACTTATACTGTGGTAAAAGTGCACAGACATAAACACAATATAAACAGGTGTTTAAAATAAACAGAAAGCTCAACACAATGCTTTCATGTGAAACAAAAATAATTAGAGCACACAAACAGTTGCTATAATAAAATTAAATATTAATAATTTAAGCATTTATATACTCTGGAACAAAGCAAAATATGTTACATTAAAATTAAGCAAACATGCAGGTTTTCTACAGAACAGTCCTCACACACTTATGGAAGCACCATAAGTAAACTTATTCCCCTGATGTCCAACAACTGACAGACCTACCATTACATCTCACGTCATGCGGTAGGTTAGCTTACAGTCAGCCAAAGAAACGGGAGAAAATGATGCTAATATCAGCAACCCCCATGGGATGACTCAGTAGTGATGGCCTAAAGTCTTGTGTTTAACTCAAATTTACTACACAAAGGCTTTACACTACACAACTTTAATACACAGATGTGTCATATTAGGCTGGCTAAATAATAAATGCATCATGGCTGGATTTCTAAAATCCTTTCATGTTTGTATATGTTAATTTTATCATAGGTTTTACATTCTCAGGATATGAACCATGGGTCTCCACAACTTGAATCTCTGGTAACACATATTACAACAGACTGTACTACACTGAAGCCTAGATCCTCCTGACTTTTTGAAAATCAATAGAGGGAGAGCAGCAAAAGAAGGATCAAGGTGAAGAGAACAGGAGAGAGAGAAAGTTCCTCTGCAGACAGGGTTTATGTTTCAGGGGTGAGTGTGTTCACCTCCCAGATTCTCTGAAGACCCCCTGCACCATCAACATTGGAAACAAACCCGTCTTCATGCCATGGCATGCAAGTAGAACTCTCGCTGATGAGGCTCCAATTTGTGTAAGAATCTGTGCTGAGCAAAGGGCAACTTCCCTGCATACCTGTGTGTTCATCAGGGCTTTCAGACACTGGATAACTTTGTGCTGACTCTTCTTTACAACTCTTTCTTGGCTGTATTAACATAAAATATGGCAATATTAGATTACAGCTGGACATACTAACAGAGCTTAATTAAAAATTATTAACATACTTACATTTGCCCATTAATCAGTTTTTCCAAAATGTCCAGTAATAATCCGAGTCCTTCATGTCCAAAGCTTTGTACCCAACTGAAAAATACAAAAGTGAGTTGCACGTTAAGTTGGTAACATAGTGAAAAGGGAAATGCTATATGCTTATAACTATTTTAAAAGATTTATAGTCATGATCATGACTACAGTATAAGCATAATATGAGATACAAACCTGTCCATGGTTCATATACCTTGTATGTAAGAGTTAAGGAACAATATGGTGTAGACAGCAGTAGGCTAACATGGTTCACTCTGGCTTCTGAGAAGTGAGTCTCTGCCATGCAACCATGTTCAGCATGTTCATAATTAGGAGTCCTCCTTGGAAATACAAATATTTACACCAAAAACTTGTGAAAACTATCAAACAGAACATCACTCAACACAGTGACACACTAGATCATCACAGCACTAGAGCTACCAACTAACCAAAAATAGGCACCACTGAGCATAAAAACAAGTCACATACAATTAATACTGTCACTTTCTCAATTAGGACACAAAGTTAACTTCTCCAATAAAACAAGCAAAAGCTAGAATGACCACAGCACAGTATTAGCCTAAAAACAGAAATGTAACTATGGGAAAAAATGTACAAAGCTTAGAGGTAACCCTTTCCTTCCACAACTGAATAGGAATAGCTCCATAGACTCATGGGTTTCAATGTTGGGCCCTTAGAGATTGGATCTATTAGGAAATGTGGCCTTGACAAAGTAGCTGTGATCTTTTTGGAGCAACTTTGTCACTGTGGGGGAGGGCTTTGAGGTCCCAAATGCTCAAACTAAACTTAGGGTGGGACACAGTCTCCTGCTGCCTGCAGATGAAGATGTCGAACTTTCAGCTCCTGTTCAAGCACCATGTCTGTCTGCATGCTACCATGTTCTCACCTTGTCAATAATGGACTAAACATCTGAAACGTTAAGCCAACCCCAATTAAATGTTCTCCTTAATAATAGACGCCATGGTCATAGTGTCTCTTAACAGCAATAAAACCCCTAACTACAACAGAAGTCAAGAGATTGTGTGCAATGGTCTTAAGCGCACTGTGGGGGAAAGGTCTTCACCATAAATGCTGCTGAGATCCTTGACATCCATATGCAGAATGAAGCCAGATCTTTATCTCTAATTAGTTACACAAGTTGACTATAAATCATTTAAAGACTGATAAGTAGAAGCTGAAACTATAAGTTACTGGGTTACAAGAAATCAGAAGCACTTCAGGACACTGGAACAGCAAGAAATTTTTTTTGGAACAGGTTCCTAAAGGTACAGGAAACAAAAGCAGAGGTAACCAAATAGGTAACCAAATTACATCAAAAGCTTCCGTACCAGAGCAAGGAAACAACACAGGAACTGAGAGCAGCAGCACACTGAGAGAAAGGATTAGCAGATAAGATATCTCACCAGAGGCCAGTACCCACATCTTAGAAAGAACTACCAGAGCTCAATTGCAAAATCAACAATAACCTAAATAACAAGTAGAAAAACAATATAAATGATGCTTCTTAAAAGAAAACAAAGGAATAGCCAAAAGTAAATGAAACATGCTCAACACGGCTAACAGCCAGGAAAGAATAAGTAGAAGACAAAGTAAGCTATAGAGCTATTCCAGTAAGAACAACAACTAACAAAAAGACAAAACAAACACCATCTGTCAAGGATAGGGGTAAACGGAAGGCATTCACACAGCTGGCAGCAATGTACATTAGTAGAGCCATTACAGGAAACAGCAAGAGGCCTCTTCACCATTTAACAAACCGCAATATGAACAATCAATTATAAAGTCAATTTGCAATATTAGAATCATATCCAAAGGAAATAAAGTTAACCAGTCAGAGACATTTGCACTCCCATGTTTACTGCAGCATTGTTCACAACTGCCAGGTGGAACAACTAAGTACCTAGAATCTAATTCCTAGATGAGGAAATGTGGTGCCCACACACACACAGTGGAACATTAATCAGGCAGGAAAAGTGATATCTCGGTATTTGCAACAACATGGCTTTACCAAGAAATCCTTATATTAAATGACATGGGTCAGGCACAGAATGGTAAGCACTTCGAAGTGGAATCTAGAAATACTGATCAAATTCAACCCGAGACACTAGCAGTGCCTATCAGAGTAGAACAGTAGGGAGGCATGAACACTTTGCTGAATGGATACTGACAAAAAGGACTAAGAGCTTCTGGTGTGCCCTAGAGGGATTTTAACTAACAACTATGTGCTACACATCTCTAAAGTCAGAAGAAAGAGTTTTAAATACTTCTACCCAAAAGAAAAGATTAATGTATAAGGGGACAGATCTAACCTGACTAAATATGGCACACACTAGATAGGCATTAACAGTGTACACTATAACCCATTATGTGTATAGTTTCCATAACCCTGTTTAAAACTTAGCTTAAACTATGCACAATGTTTAAAACTTAAATCTCTGCATTTAACACTCTGTGAACACAGCCTCACCATATGTAAATTTTCAGAATTTCTGACATCCCAAGAAGGAAAACGTATTTCTACACTGCACATTCTTTGCACTACAATGGCGGTCTTCAGTCAGACTATCTTCCTCATTTCTTCTGTGCCCAGTGAAAGCCATGAAATACCCAATTCAACAATGCCAGCAACAGCTAAGGCAATCTCCATCAAAGACTGAAGAAGACTATTATGGCTGAGATGAGGAAAACAGCTAAATAAATGCCACTGCTTTCAAAGGAAGCTGCTACTTCAAAAGTGAAGAGTTTACTTTCTCCTATCAGCTACAGACAGATTATCCACAGGCATTTCAAATCTGGCTTTCATGTTGCATGAAAATACCTACAGCATCCGCTTAGCTGTGTTCCTTGTTTACATCTTATTCTGTATTTACTCTTATTTCACATGCACTGCAGCAGCTTGAAATCAAACATATAAAGAGTAATTTGTGAGCTTCACTTGACCTGCTTGGGATGCATGGAGTCTTTGCTCATCGAAACCTCTGGTGTTAGTATTTCCCAGTGGGCCTATAATATTTTATACTTTCAACCATCACTATATTCAAAGTATGTCTATAAAGAGATTCTAAAGCTAATAAGAAAATCTGAGATTATTCATACTATTTTCATCTCCAATCACTGCCAAATAAAGTTACTATTTCACTAAATTGCCTTAACCTTAATATGCAGGGTAACTTTAAATTATGTTAATGTAACAAAAAGGGTTGTGTTTAATATTTTACAGTTGTGATGATGGGTAGAATTTAGGAAGCACACAAATCCCATGCAAAACAGGAAGTTATCTTTTCTGAGTAATTAAGAACAGAACATAACTACATAAACTTTATCAACCCTAATACAAGTAAAACTAGTAAAATTGGACCCACAGTTCTCAAATCAACAATTCTAGACATCCCAGA